ATTGGCCTAAGCCAAATCAAACACAATACATGGTTTGAAAATTTTATTACTCGATTAGGCATGATGACTTCGGGTTGGGTAGGTCATGGTGGTCAGGATTTTTGAAAACCCCACATTTGATCCCTGGCTATGCCCTGTCCTATTTAACTTTTGAAGTGTCTAAGGGAAGGATTCTTTGTAAGGTATGGGAAACCTGCTGGATACTCATTCAGTAAAAAAAATGTATGTATTGACAATCAAATTAAGGATGAATAATACAATCCCCGTTCAAAACCATTTTTGGTATAGAAATCAAGCCTCGTTCTTGCCCCCCGTGTCGTCGAATTTATATGGGTTTTTTGCTTCTCACAGTTGCCTTTTCCATACTTTTAGATATTTGGTGCCAAATCGAACCCCTTTTGTTGCCAAACAAGAGTATGCATTCTCGCGGGTCAAATTTCTATCGATGGTCATATGTAATATCATATTAAAAAGGGTGCATTGGGATAATTTTTCAAAATAAAAGGACTTGAATGTATTTAGAGTAAACTATAGTTTTGGTTTATGTGGGTTACACAAAACTAGTACAACATCCATAAACTTTAATAATCTTCAAGTTTTCTTTAAAAATACTATTATTATTTTTATATTAAATTTTAACCCCTCTCTCTCTCTCAAAAAAAAAAAATATATATATATATATATATATATATATATATAGGGGTTTTCTAACCCCACCCCCTGTTATGTATTTGATGCTAGATTTTCTATACCCTCTCCTATTAAAACACTAAAATACATTATAATAAGTTTATTTTATTTTTCAATTTTAACCCTTAATATTTTTAGTTTTAACCCTTTAACTTTTTATATATTTTTCTATTATATCCCTTATGTTTTTTTAATCTTATATTATCATTACATATATTAATTAATTATATATTATTATTAATTAATAAAATATTAAAAATATGTAATTTTTAAATTATATATTTGTATATAAATTTTTTTCAATATTTATATTTTATATCTTTATAAAAACTTATTATTTTTATTTTATACCCTTATGATATTTATATAATTACAATTCCATAATTAAATAAAACGATGTTCAAATAAAAACGTATTTTGTYAACATATTTTATTTTATATACAATTATATATGTCAAAGTAAAYAAACAAAAGATTATATATTAAATTTWGTATATAAATGAATATAAACGAACGGTAAACAAAYGAACGTTCATGGACATAAATGAACGAACGAGACTCTTGTTAATGTTCGTTCGTTTAATTAAACGAACAAAAAGAATTGTTCATGTTCGTTCATTTATTTAATAAATGAACATAAACGTTCGGTTCCTTTACAGCCCTATAAGTAACTAGAGAATATGAAGTATAATTTAAAAATTAACAAGTATATTAAAAAATGAGTATGTAAGATGAACAAGATCAATAAAGGATATGAAAATGCTTCCTGAAAGGTTAATTTAGTTGTTAGATCTAATTTTAGTTAATATAAAATTATGTATTTTAATGTGATAATGGTGTAAAAATAAATGATGTATCATAGATTAAATAAAAAATTATAAAAGTATAAATCGTAAATATTAAAAATATTTTTTCACAGTATATATAATACATAATAATATAATTAAGTCAAAAATTATTCAATATTGGACTCATTTTGAAGGTATTAACAAGACGATTATAATGGTGTAACTTGTTAAAATACAAATGTATTTTTTAAACATGTTTTAATTAATATACGATTATGTATGTTAATTTGATAAAGGTGTAAAATGAAAAATTTAAAAGTAAAGGACGTAAAGTAAATTAATTAACTAATTATAGGGGTATAAAGTGTAAATTTAAAATTATTATTTTTAAAAAATTTGTTGAATGTGAGAGGAGGTGAGTATGTGAGGGAGTGAGGGAGTGAGTTTGTGAGAGAAGGGGGTGTAGAAAATGACGTCAGGGGTATGAATATCAACCCCCATATATATAAATACAAAACCGCCCATTCTTAACCCCCATCATCCCGGGTGAACCCTTATCCTTTTTCAAGATTTTTTGAATTTGGTGACACAATTTAACTATAAAAATAAATTTGTAAAAGAATTTCACAATATTAATATATATTGGTCGTTGGTTCGTTTTCCTTACACAGAAGCAACTCATGTCCAAGTCCTGGCTATAATGTTTTCTAAACATAATAAGAGGTATAGGCAGTGGCGGATCCAGGATTTTTGTTCAGTGGGGTCACCTTTAAGGTAGACTAAAAACCCGCAAAATCGTTCGATGTGTTTTTAACCTAATTACAACGTTTTCGAGGGAATTTTAAAGTTTTTTGGTTGATTTCGAAGGATTTTTTAGTGTTTTTGTCGATTTCGAATAACTTTTTTGGTTTTTTTGATTGATTTCAACATATTTTTTTGTTAGAGTAACAGTTTTGATTGGGGTTGGGGGCCCATGGAAAAATGTAATGGGGGGAAGTGAAAAGTAAATCATGTAAAACCTAAATTTTAACCTATGAATTTTTGTTTTTGAGTTTTTGACTGGGGTCCCTTCCCCCCTCCTTTAAACCACTACATCCGCCCCTGGGTATAGGACACCAAATTTAAGCGGAAAACTAAGAATTTTGGTAAAAATGGGACTCGAACCCAAGGTTGTGTACAAATTGAGCAACGCTTACCAACTATGCCATTAAAGACTTGCACCAAGATTTCAGTTTCAAAAACTACATGGTGGCACACAACAAAACAATACGGTGGCACTCTTTAGAAACGTAATTTTTCTCCTTACAACAAAACCACGAAGCAGTGGCACAACTATACAGGTATGCCCCTGATACCAGTGTGCATTTTGCTTTCCCTTAACCTTCATCGAACACATATGAACGACATCTATGGGAGTAGACAGAGGTTCAGGTTCATTGATGGGTTAGAGTCACAGTGAGGCGTGGGGTTGTTGGCCAACGAAACCAATGTGTATAACATCTGGGTTTTTAGTCTTACATGTGTATGTTTGTGTATGTACAACATCTACGCTTTTGTGTATGTTACATGTGTGTCTTTTTTTGAGCAGATCTCGAGTTTGAACCTGAACCCGGCTTTCAACAAATTAATCGAGCTCAAGTCGAGTTTGATATTATTTTTTCAAGCCGAGCTCGAATAAACTGTTATTCAACTCGACTCGTTCACACACCCATGTGGGGTGGTAAAAAGACAAAAAGGGTAAAAAGATGAAAATGTTCTTTATATAATGGACATTTTTAACAGAGTTAACTAGAGAAACTACTCTTATAGCAAAAAAATGCAAACCACAATGATTACTATTATACTTATTGAAGTTTAAGGACGTTTTTCATAATTCTATATAAACTACAAGGACCAAAATTGTAGTTTACTCATGTATTTATTTAACTAGAAGGGTGCTCGTGCAATGGATCGAGACACATCTTAATTTCAGTGTTTCGTTTTATTCATTTTTATGTCGATATAATACGGTTTTATGAGGTTTTGAGAAAGCGATAATGTGTTTATTTTTAAATAAAATATAAATTTAAAAATATCATAAAATATTGAAAAAAAATATTTCAATATCAGTATCAAATTAAATTTTTTTAAAGTTCTTGTGTTTTGGTGTAATTTCCTTAATTCTATTTTTTTAATTATAATTTAATCTAGGGTTAGTAACAAATAAATTTAATTTAGATTTAATAATATAAATTTTTATAAAGATAATAACTAAATATTCTGCTAAAACTCAATAACTATCTTAATTATATTTTAGATTTTTTATATTTAAAATAAGATATTTATCCAATAGTTGATTATGTTTATCTGTAGTTAGTTACACGAATTCAAATATGTTAATAAGTTGTACTTATACACAGTTTACTTGTAATCATAAATTTTAGATAATATATATCAATAAACAATACTCCGTGCATAAAAAAATAGTTTTTAATTTTTTTTTATCAATGCTTTAGGGGCTGTTTGGCAGTTGCTGAATGATTTAGTTCAGAATAGTTAAGAGGTTAGAATGGCTAAGAGGATCAGAATGGTTAAGTGCTGAATGAAACAAGGTTGTTTGGTAATTGTTCTCTGAATGATAGCAAATTACCATTTTAACCCTAGTTATGATTTAGTACTGAATAAACCAACATACAATTACCAAAGATGATGTTTCTTCATATCAGTATCAAATCCTCAAGAAATTGCAAAATGTCGATAATCCAATCATTATTAACATTGTTACAAACATGAAATAAGCAATAAACACCATCAATTTCTAAAGAAAAATGATAAATTCCCTAAACCAAACCCTAGATTTATGCAAGATCAACGACCTGCTGGAAGAGGCGGAGAGGCGGCGAGCGACCAGGTGGCAAGGCGGCGAGCCGACGAGCGACGAGGCGGCGAGTGACGAGGCGGCGAGCGACGAGCGACGAGCGACCAGGCGGCGAGGCGGCGAGCGACGAGGCGGCGAGGCGACGAGGCGGCGAGGCGACGAGGCGACGAGGGGGGAGGGAAGACCGGCGATGTGTGCTGTTGGTGGTTATGTGCGAGCGACGAGAAGACGGTGATGGAGGGGGGAAGAAGGAGATGGGGGGAGAAGACGGTTCATGATGTTTCAAAAAGGAGATGGGGGGAGAAGACGAGAAGACGGTGATGATTTGGGAAAGGAGGGCATAGTTGGAAAAATGAACCTCTTAATGGTTTAGTGAGGTATAGGATGCTAAATGGTTAAGAGCCAATTGTCACCATTAAGAGGTTCTATTTTTTTTGCCAAACAGCCTCTGCCTCTTAGCGATTAAGAGGCTGCCTCTTAATGTCACCATTAAGAGGCAAACAAACAGCCCCTTAGAATATAGTAGTGATAATTCTGCATATCCGGTTAGGCAACCGACCCACCCGACTCATTTCACCGGTCCAGGTATGGCGTTGTAGCTATCGTTACACGTGGACACCCATTAAATAAACACCAATGACCAAATCCATTCCAAAACCATCCACACTAGTTACAGCTCTTTCTTCCCTTCCCACCGTCCTGCCACCGCATCGCCCTCATCCCGCCACCATGGCAGCAATACCTGCCCATACTCTGAACCTATGCAGCGTTCTATCGGAGGCAAAGAGGATCGTCAATGCCCACTCCCGCCACTTCCTTGCCTTATCCGTCGTCTTCCTCCTCCCTCTCTCTTTCTCTCTCATCATCTACCCTACTCTTCAGCTCTCCCTTACTCAAATCGACGTCGTTACTACACAGTTCTTCATAGTCGATTCGCCGGATCTTCGACAATCCCTAACAATCCCTCTCCTCTACATCCTCTTTGTCTATATTTTCTTCCTTGGTGCCATTGCCACAATCACTTACAGCACGTTCCATGGTTTCTATGGAAGACCAGTCCGGTTTTTCCCTGCCATGAAATCCTTAGGCTTCTCGTTTTTCCCACTCGTTTCGACCACGATCGCTGCTCAACTTCTCCTCGGTCTCATCTCGCTAACTTTCCTCCTGTTCTTTGTGGTAATCATCAAGACGGTCGAAAACCTAGGCTCCGAAATTGATTACAACTCGAATTACTTTATCGTGTTTTGCGCGTTTGTGGCTGCGGTGCTATGTTTGGTCATAATCTATTTCCAAGTGAATTGGTCACTGGCTTGTGTGATTGTTGTGGCCGAATCAAAATGGGGTTTCGAGCCACTGTGGCGAAGTTCGTATTTAGTGAAAGGGATGAGATCCATTTCCTTGTCATTACTGTTGTTTTTTGGAGTTTTGATTGGGTTTTGGGTCTGGATGAATTCGAATAACGTGTTGCATTTCGATGCTGTTGGTGGATGGAGGAGCTGGCCTTTCGTCTTGCAGATGGTTATTGGTACAAGTCTCTTGACTCTGCTTTTGCTTCACAATACAGCATCCAGTACTGTGTTCTATATGTACTGCAAGGCTTTACATGGGGAATTGGCAACCGAAATCGCTGAGGAGTTTGCTCGTGAGTATGTCAGCTTGCCTTTTGATGATCAGAAGGTCCCCCATATTGTTACTGTTGTCCCAACTTGATAATGGAGGTTAGTGGATTCTACTCCACAAAACAGGTTTCTTAGTTTTTCTGCTTATAGGAATCTGTGGACCCTTTGTAGCTGATTCCCACAATGTGTGGATATCAAGAATCATGGTTCTTTGAATTTCAGATGTCAATCATGCAACTTTTAAACTATAGTTGTGTTTTTTTAAAGCAAATGTGTTGTAGTCCCTTGATGGATCTTGTAGATTTATGTTTTGGATGGTAGCTTTATATGCTGTATATAATGGTTATGTTCTTTATAAAGGTATATGTGGGACCATGTGATTCTGCTAATTAATATAATTACTAGCATTTTATTTTGTTACTGTTATGCAGCTTGGTTCTCTTTCTCTGCAATGCTGTAAGATCCCAAACATCTTGATCTTGTTCCCAAGTTGAGACTTGAGATTAGTATGGACCATGTTATCTTGTCCCTTCCTATTTTTTATTTTTCAAGAAAATAGTATGGAATACAAATTTCTGACCAACTATATTGCATGGGTCATGTTGGACCACAAGAAAACTCATGAGAGAAAGTTGGTGATAACGGAGGTTGCAGAAATAACGATGCTTAAGTAGACCTGTGGACGGATCATGATCATATGGATACCAGATGAGGACTTAACTTGAGAGAAGAAAGATTGGGTGGTTTGGTCCATGAACAACACGATGCAAACGAGATCTCAAGTTGAAAGAGGGAAGATTGTGGTGGTTTGGTCACGTTGGCTAAGGGAGTGCCGAGGGGGAGGTCGAGAAGGACTTGGATGAGCAGTTGAGGTTACACATGATTTAGACATTTCAGAAGACATGACTTCTAATGGTTTTAAATCACCTATTCTTTGCGAGCATCTAAATGCAGGTTACAATAACATGGGTTTAAGAATCCGATCTTTCCTTTAGATGAGTCAATTTGTCCTCCACTCCCGGGTAATGAAATGGGGAAATATGGAGAACCCAAGAAATAAAAAAGGAACTTGATTCAAATCTTTCTTTCATTTGGGTAGCTAAATTTTGAGGATGAAGGCATTTTCAGTCTAGCTATTCTGTCATCCTGATCAGCCTCAAAGAGTCGTGCACTCGAGTTTCCAGATCTATGCACCAACCGTGATGGGACCCTGTCGCTATCTTCCCCACCAGATGCATCATATCCATCACTCATCGATCTTGTGAGTGCCTGCTTAAGTGAACCAGAGACCGTTAGATCTGTAGGCATCCCAGTCTCATCTGCTCCTGAAGAACCCATAAACGGGTGATCATCAGGGGAGTCTAAGCTACTATCTGGGGAAGAACCCACAATGCCAGTCGAGTTTGACATGGTCCTGAATACACTACGAGCTTCAAGCTGCAGAGGCACCAAACGTGTTCCAATGTTGTTCGAATTTTTGCTATCTGGAACACCGAGCCACTGGCTTCCGACCCTTTGGTTATTGTCGAACCTTGAGGACATTTGGCGGTCGCTTCTCCCAAAGCTTCTATCACTGTCGATCCTGTTGGAGCCCATTTGTCCGGCTTCCTTTCTTGACACTGGCTGCAGGATCTTGGACTTCTTTCGTGCCTCTGCAGCCGCTTTGGAGACCTCATCGGCATTTAAACGAGCCAAGGTCCATGGGCTGATCTTCACAGCCGTGGGGTTCTTTTTCTTGATGGGATCATCCAGAGTCTTTTTCCCTAGCGAGCTAACAGAGCTGGTCTCTGGTGGAACTACATCATACTGAAACAAGGAAGTGGGTTAGTATTGGAGTCTTACATTGGCTAGACTTTGACCCTTTCTCCAAAATATACGTTGGAACCTCCATTCTCCATTCTCTCCTCAAGGGCTCTTTCAAGAATAATCAAACAGGGTTCCTCATATTATCACATGATATCGGAGCAATCAGGACCGTCTAGCCCCCTCTCGACACTCTTAGGACAATTTGTGCACGTCTAGCCTCAGTTGGAGGGGTGTGTTAGGAGTCTCACACCGGCTAGACTTTGACTCTTTCTCCTCAATCTATGTTGGAATTTCCCTTCATCTACTTTGGGTTTCACATACTCCCACAGTTATGACTTATTGTACCTTTTGCTAAGTAAAAGAAAAGATAAAATAAAGAAGTTACCTGATCTTCAACAAACAGCCGTGGAGGCGTACACCAAGCTCCTTGACGGAAAGTATTGAAGGAGCTGACGCTGCTCAAACCGGTGAGCGAGCTAGCTGGTGACATTTGAGGGCTTTGTGGCCCTCCAAATCCTTGATGCTCTTGCTCCCTCAACGCTATGATATAATCGTATGTGCTAATTCCCTGTCGCCAGAAATGTGAACCACATGTAAAAGGTGTAAGCATGACACCAAAATTGTTCCAACAATAGACAGACCAAACCAAATCAAGCCATACGAACCCGGTATATCCCACATGGAGGTGGGGTCGGGGAACGGCAAGACGTATATAGACCTAACCTCTATCCCAAAGGGTAGAACGGCCGTCTCCATGAAGACCCTGGCTTGTGAAAACACAAGATAAAAATAAGTGGCAGGTATTAAGCTCACCTTCCTTATTAGAAGAATGTGAAAGAAGAAGAGCTGAATGAGTGGCAGCGTTGCGATCATTGCCAAAATAGTGCACACTGCCTGCCAGATTTAGACCAGCATTTTGTTAGACCTCTAAAGGCTATGAATTTTGAATTCGAAAAGAATACGTTGAACTTTAGAGTCGAGAACTCTGGAATCAACAGTAGACTTCTATAAGAGGGGGAAGAATTAGAGTACCAACCACGACTGCTACATAAGGCGCTAACGTGAAACTGCTCCCTAACTTGGCAGCTATTTCTATGCTGAATCTTTTGTGGTCGAGGATACAACTTATCAATACAACGATTCCAGTTGACCATTGAAGTACAAGCTTCAATTCTCAAGACCAACGGCAAAAAACAAGTGTTAGACGTAGGAAATTTGGGCTACTACAAGCCAATACAACTAACAAATGCAGGTTTGGCCTTACCAGAAAAAGAGCAGAGACCATAAGGGCAAAGAACTTTGTATAATTCCTTTTGCCAATGCAGTTATTGAGCCACTACAAGAAAATGAAGGCATTAGATTTGTTGTCGGTAAATAAGAGGTACAAAAGCATTCACCGAATTAGAATCCTTATATACCCTGCAATGGTGATCAAACCGATCAACACATTTATCGCAGACCCTACAGTGCTTGCTGTACTTGAAAACCTGCAAGAAAACAGCCATTTAGAATGTTCAATATGCTAGATTCTTGATTCTTGATTCTTTCCTGCATTGACTTTCTAGGTAAAGTTTATCACTTTTGAAATTCAAAATAGGCATGGATTCTGTTACAAGTTCTTCATCAGCCTTTTTGTAGCATAAACCATCTATGATAAAGTTTGATGTAACTTATGTCAAGTTTTTGAAGTAATATCTTCAAATTTGAAATCTGAAAACTGATTCTTTTGACCTCAAAAGTCAAAACAGTCTCTTTCAGGAAGGATTGAAGCAAACAGACCTCAACTTCACAGAGACTGCAGTAAAACATGCCATCTTCACTTGTCTGGAGTTCAGAAGACTCATCGTCTGGACTCGAGCAGTGGCACATGAGAGCACAAGGAACCAGAGCCAAAACGGGCATAAAACATGACGATGGTTTCGAGTCTTTTTCAGTTTCAGACGTGTAATCTTTTGTTCTTGAGTCCGTACTCTTCCTGTCTTTACTTGGTGCATTTGCATCTTTTATTGAAGGTGTCGATAGTTTAGATCCTTCTTTTCTGATATCCCTTTTGATGTCTGTGGTTTTACGATACTTCTTAGACTTGAAAACTCCTGCATCTGCTGGATCAGCACCAGCACACCAAATATACAGGCCGAATGCACATATAATCTGGTAAGATAAGCAAGTGGCTCAAGTTTCATATAGAATCTAATGCAAAACTAAGCTGTCTGGCAAACTAACTGATAAATTAGCCATCTTTGGTAAAAACTAGCTTATAAGTTGGATGACAATACAAGATGACTTAAAGGATATGTTGAAAAAACCCCATGAGCTTGTTGAAATGCTACTTCAAATAGTGTTTCAAGAAGCCAGCTTTAGCTAACCAAATGGGGTTTTTCAATAAGCTCAAAAATAAGCTTAGCCTTTTTTAGGTGACCGTTGGTCTGAATGATCATTAGAAACATAGAACAAGAATCACATATCTGGAATTGAGGCCTTGAAAACATGAAGTAATTGAGAAATGGAGACAGAAGAAAGCTTACAAGAGGAGTGTAGATCCCCATCACAATATACTGGTACATCTTTTTCCCCACAAAAGGGGCAAAGAACACATAGAAACCAAATCCCAGTGCCACAAACACAGAAACAGCCACCACCTGTTCAAAGTTCGTGTCAAATTAAACACCCAAAAAGCTAAATGTTCAAAAAGTTTAAGCCCCATTTGGTTTGCTGATTTGGAATTGAATTCCATTCCAATCTCAGCTTTTGGTTTAAAGGAAAGCCCGGAATTGAAATCCCATAAATATTGGATTTAGAAATCCCATGGGGTAGTTGGTATTCACCGGATTTATTTGTAGTAATGTTTTAAAATATGTTATAAATATCAAACACCCAGAAGCTAATTTTTTCAGATACTCTAAAAAATCTATAGTGGCATGGATATAAGGTGAAAAATTGTTGTCAATTTAAACAAACACCCACAAACTGAAGGTTTCATAAACCCTACAACTTCCAACAATGATATGGATGGTGGATGAGAAAACTGTTGTGAAATTAAACACTGAAAAACTCAACACTTTCTAAAACCATAAGAAATCAACAATGGCATGTTAGTAGATGAACACATTGCTGTGAGATCAAACATCTGAATGCCAAAATTTTGAAAACCCTAAAAGATTTAAAACATGGGTAGTTAAATGTTGTCAAAATAAAACACACCCAGAAGCTAGATTTTAGAAAACCCTAAAGAATTCAACAATAATAAGCTGAATTTTCAAGAACCCTAAAAAAGAGCTGGATACACACCTGAAGAGGATGGTAGGGAAGTTGCCACCCATGCTTCCTCATCTTTGTAACTTGGAAAATCTTGGTGGTAGGTTTGAAAACAAAATGGCTAGGAATCACTACTCCTCATTTCACTAGAGAAAATAAGAGCTTTGAATCTCATAACCTCAAATCAAGAAATCTTGAATTTTGAGATGAAGGGTATTCTTGGAAAGATGGAGATTTAGCTACAAAAGTTTTGTGTGGTTTTCCCAAAGTGTAGAGAGAGAGAGAGAGAGAGAGAGAGAGAGAGAGAGAGAGAGAAAGAGAATGGATGTGGGTATTGTTGAATCTTGGGGAAGATGAGAGGGATTTAGCTATAAAAGGACTGTCACACCTTTACGCTACTGAGAAATAACTCCTTCAGAGAATCATCCAAGAAGAAAAAGGAAAAAGCAATGTCCTTTTTGGTCTTTTAATAATTGTTATAAATAAATAAATAAATAATAGACATGGAAGTTTAAAAGTATAAGGTTTTATAAACAAAAACTTTTAACTAATAGATCTTTTCTTGTTTTCGGTGAGGTTTGAATCTTTGACCTGTTAAGAGGTCAAAGACTCTCATACTTAGGTCAAAGACCTTTTGGTATAAAATAATGTTGTAGACAGTAAAGTATTAGATTTTGATATAATATTGTTTATTTACAGTATTTTTATATGATATCAAAAATATATTATGTAATTAAATAGTATAAATATATAGAAAAGTACTATTACTATATACATTAATAGTTAAACAAATTCCATGTTTCAATAAATGGTTGAAAATGATGTTAACTCATTTGTGTTAACTTTTTATGGGAAGATGATGATGCCCCTTTCTCATGGGCAAATCATGTGAAACAGAGGTCAATGCTTTGTTCATCTTGCTTTTGGATTCACTCTAATTTAATTATATATATATATAGAGACAGATTGTTTCAAATACAATCTATCGTATTTTAACAACCAATACAACCCAATAAATTGAGATATTTATGAAAATGATGAGAGTTTATTTATTATGATTTGAATATTTATGAAAGATGAATATGGTTCATTAATTATGATCAATACTTTATATTATGAAACAATCAAAACTTCTATGAAATCACATATTAATCAAATGAAATGAACGGTTGAGATTGGGTTGTATTGGTTGCACAAATGTAAAGGTTTGTATAATAACCAACCTATATATATATATATATTGTTTTAATTTAAGGTTATCTAAGCTTAAAAACCAGACTGAATTTGTATAATGATCCCTAAAAATCAAACTCAATGTCTTATTTAGGTTTTTGGTCATAAACTAATGAGATCAAAACTTGATATTGGTTTAGATTTTGTTTAATCTTTAGTTTAATTAGGTGGTGTTTGTTTTTTAAGAGGTGATGAAGTCTGATTTCACTTTTGATCTATAAGATGTGGTTCTGAAGTTTGAAATCTGGATCAGTAATGCTGTTTGTTTTTATGTCTGAAATCTGAATCGGTCAAACTAGTGCGAAAATATAAAAGATAAATAGTTTTTGCTAACAAATAGCTTTCAGCCTATAATATATGACCCATTTGATAGATGACGGATTAAGATTGAGAGGTATTAGTAGATACTTTTACTAATTAAAATTTGAGAGGATATTTAGAGCTTTTAAACTTTTATTTTTTTAACGAGCAAAAAGTTCATAAATATTTAATGAACTTTCTCATTTTAAATGATTAAGTCTGTAATCTTTTTGTTTGAATAAATAAATTATTAAACTTTTTTAATTTTAACAATTAAGTTTTTGAATTTTTTTAATAAATAAAGTAATAAAGTTTGGGAAATTAGTAAAGTTTGAAACTAATAGGAAAGCTTTTTGAGTTTTGACAATGAGTCTGAGGATCATTTATTTAAATGTTTATCCAAAATTTTTCTAAAATAAAGAATTAAAAGTTAAAATCTTTAAATAAATATATATATATATATATATTTATTTATTTATTTATTTATCTTCAAAAGACTCCTCATTTTGTAGAATCCAACATTGATTATAATATTAAAATATTTTTTTCTCGCTAAATATTTATTTTCAAAATTTCTATTGGTGGCATCAATTGGTCAACATTTCTGGGGTGTTCTCCATATTTGGAGAAAAAACTCTTTTCTCTCATACTTTCTCTATTTTGGAAATAGTTTTGGGAAGTTGTTGAAATAAAATATTGGCTTAAAATCCCTATTTTCTTCATTTTAAAGAAGCTGTTAGAGATACTCTTAGTGTCAACTTTTCTGAATATTATGGGAAAAAATAGATTAATTCAGGAAAATTGATTCAAATGACCATTCTCAACATCCAAATTGGTCTCTTAACTATTTCTCCAAATATCACTATTTCCATAATATTAGCTAGATCCACAGTATTAGTTAAAAGATAAATAAATCAAATTCAACACAAATCTGCAATTGTAACAGTAGACTGATTGAATTTGAACTTTGTTTGTCTTTTAGCTAATACTGTAGACTTAATTAATATTACAGACTTAGATATTGTGAAAGTAGTGACATTCGAATAAATTCGAAAAAAAAATGATTAAAAAAACCAATTTAATTATAAAAAAATAATTATTTAAGTCAATTTCCTATTAAGTTATTATATTCCCTTGCAAAGGCCTGTGAATTTGTGATTTTGGCACCTTGTTGTCAGAATATATTGGGTTTTGAGGAGGTAAAGGTCAAATTGGTAAATTGACATTAGACATTAATTCCAACAAAGTACAAAATGGCTTTTTATTTCATGGGGACATATCTCTTGGATTGAGGTGTGTGTTTTTGGATCTTGTGTTATACCCTTTTTCAACCTTGTGCTTCCATTCCATGCAATTATTTATTGTACAACTCTTTGTTGCCACATGTACAACTCATTAAAGCATGCTTACATAAAGTGGAATGGTCAAATGCCCTTATTATTCTTTATATGGACATTATTATTTTTATTTTTTATATAAAATTATAAAATAATTATATTGTTTTTTTTATATTTTTCTGTATTTTAGATTGTTCACGTTCACGATTTTAATAGAAACCGTTAGTTGAAAACCAAGAGAAAATCGTAACAGTTCGTATTTTAAAATCGAAAATGAATAATAGAATTTATGAGCAATTGTTATATGGTTATGAATGAATAACTATTGAAATCCACCTTATTTTAAAATCGTTAGTTTCGACTCTCTGTTAGTTTTGACTCTCTTAAATTCCGTTTAGGTTTTAAGGTGCTACCCTTTAGATCCTGCAATCGGGTTCCCCCCGCCCCCCGGGCGTCATATTATGACGATATCCAATTATCTCAGGTTCTAACTAGCTTACACGAGTGTGTACTATGTATCTTCTAAACCGTATAATAGTTTAACTAACAATTTCTTTCATTTTATTGTGAATCCAATTACACAAAACGAGATCATAATTCACTAAAATCACCAACAATATATCATCATTTAAAAAAAAGGAATGACAAAGTTGAATGGTCAAACACCCTCTAATGCATTGTCAAATTTTTCAGTATTTAGTTAGAAGCCGTTTACCAAACTTTTATCTGGTAAATATTCACCAGAAACCATAAGGATGGCGTCTGATTGGTTTGAGTTTGGCTCTAATTGTCAAAAGTACCAGGAGGTACCAAGTTCAAATCCAAGGAAAAATAAAAATCTTATTGTGGCCACGGAGGTTCAAATGGTGGTCGTCCTGTGATTAGTCGGCTCGCATAACGGGTTGGATATCCAGGTTAATCAAAAAAAAATACCAGATAAAAAGACGATTATCGTAATTTATTTTAATGACCAATAATGTTGCTCGACAAGATAAGTGAAAGTAGACATTTGTCGACCATTTAATTAATATTTATAGAAAAATAAAATCATTTCATAATTCCTTTATTTATAAGTGGGTTAAATAGTGGATACATTTTGTAATTTAAAAATTATAATAATTTTATTTAATTAAATGGTTTGAAGCATATCCTCGTGACAACAAACTTTTGACTTTAGCGTTGTCGGCATGTTATTGGGTGAAGCATATATACATGTGACTCAACCTCATCTACCATTTTCAATCTTTTTAAGAACATATAATTTATTTATTTTCATTTTAATTATTAAATTAAAAATATCAATTATTAAAATTTATTATATTCTTTAAAATGGATTAGAAGGATACTCGCGTAATACAACAAGATATATCTTGATTTTAATATTTTATTTTATTTTCTTATCTCAGTCGATGTTATAACATAGTCTTATGTGATTTTGAAAAAACGATGATGTTTTTATTTGTTAATAAAATATAAATTTGAAGATATCATAACATTTTGATAAAAATATATCGATATTAGTATAAAATCAACAATTTAAAATTTCTTATTTTTTATGTATTTTTTAATTTAATTTTTTATTATAATTTAATTTATATTTGATTTAATAATATAACTTTTTCATAAAGATAATAATTAATTATTTTGTTAGAATTCGATAATTATCCTAATTATATTTTAGATTTTTTATATTTTAAAATAAGATGTTTATCCTCTATTTGATTATGTTTATCTGCAGTTAGTTACACGAATTCAGACATGGAGATTTAATAAGTTGTATTTGTGCATAATTTACCCGTAATCTTGAAATGTTAAGTAATATGCATTAATATATAGTACTTCATATATACAAAATAGTCTTAAGAGTTTTTATCAAATATTTTATAATATAATATAGATTATTATATATAAAGTTAAATGTAAGTCTGGTTCTTGTGGTTTAATAAGATTTTGAGAAGAATTTTAATAAAAAAACGTTAATATAATTTTATTTTTATAACAGATATGGTTTTTTTATAACAATATCATTTAAAATGTCATTAATGAAGGGTAGTTTCGTCATTAACCCTTCCTTTCTATTTATTTCCATTTTTTAAACACATTATGATATTTCATCTATTTTTGAGCTCGAGGTTTTAATCTCTTGACGTTAGTCCACAATACCTGGATTTAATCAAATACAATCATAAATCCCTGATTTCATAT